CATCCAGTTCGACAACGGCAAGCGCTCCAACGTGAAGCTGGACCTGCTCAAGCTCAAGCACTCCAAGCTGCGCCGCGTCGGCCAGTGGGTCTCCGGCAAGGGCATCAACATCACCGACCCCACCGCCTTCTACGGCCAGCAGCGCACCAACATCACACTCGTCGTCATGACGCGCCAGGTGAGAGAGTGACAGGTTTTTAATTCTCACTCAAGTATTTAAGGAAAATTTTTCGTGTTTTTTTGTTGTTGGTTTTTTTGTTTTTTTTATGTCTCTGAATAAATGTCTGAACTCTTTTCTCTTAAAGGGTTTTTGTTTTCGATTTTTTCGGAAAGATGTCAATTTTTTCCTATTTTTTTTCTGACAATGATTCCAATTTTTCCGGGAAAAGCTTCGCACAGTAACTCCCCGCCGGCTCGCGGTCTTTGGACCAGCCGGACAGCAGCGCCCTGACCCTGCCGCACTAACCCCCTGGCCCCTCTCTCTGCTCCCCATCAGGAGAAGCCTTACGTGATGCTGAAGGAGGACCGCAACCTGACGGGCAACGCGCGCTTCGAGGGCTTCTGCATCGACCTGCTCAAGTGGATCGCCCACCAGGTCGGGTTCCACTACGCCATCCGCCTGGTGCCGGACCACATGTACGGCGTGTACGACCCGGCCAGCAAGCAGTGGAACGGCATCGTGAGAGAGCTCGTCGACAAGGTGCGACTCGGGTGACAGTCCTCGAGACTGTCTCTACCAGAAGAAAAGCTTTCGAAAGGAAAACGTGGTTCTCACGAAGACCTAATTGTGACCTTCGAAAGCCATAAAGAGATCAGAATAAGGTCTTCGTGAAAAACACGTTTTTCTTGGGTTGTTTTTTTTCTCACTATTTTCTTTTAATTTCTCTCTGCAGAGAGGCATGCCTCTTTATTTTTTTTTCTCTGACTCCTTTTATTCTTTTCCTTTCTCTGGGAATCATCTGGAAGTTACCCCTCCTGGAGTTTACCCCCGTCATTCCTAGAATATTTTTCAGGGATTAAAATGCAGAATATTGCTGTAATTTACCTTCTTACCCTAAAATGTTGAAAAATGGGAGTGACCCCTCCTACAGCTATATCCCTTTCACTTATTTAGATGTGGTTAGTATTCCACAATATTTGCTGGGGTTCTCTAAATTAATTTTGTTAGTTTTGTACACACTTTGAAAATATTGTGGAAAATTGTAAATAGTGTTTTAAAAAATTCTGAACTGGGTTGTGAGTTCAAGGTCAATTTATAATCATATTTTAGGTCGTTTGAGGTAATACATTTCATGAAAAAAAATTGCCAGTGCAACCTTGTTCAGAATGTTTGAGAATACTAACATTTCAGGGTAGAAAGGTAAATTACAGCAATATTCTGCATTTTTAATCCCTGAAGAATGAGGGGGGTACACTGAAAAAAAATACTAGTAGGAGTTACTAGGATCTTAGTACCAGGTACCAGACAGTCTAGTAACACAAAGTCTAGTAAAATTTACCAGATGTCTAGTTACAGATACTGCACATTTTTACGATTCCTAGTACCGTTTACCAGACTGCTTACTTACAGATACCACACATTTTCTTTTCAAAAAGTGTTCAAAAAATATACGAATGCAATATATAAGATGTCTGCCCGGTACTACGGTTACACCGGGTACTCGTTAACCCACGAAATTTCGAAGCCCTGACCGAGATTCGAACCGCGGACCTTTGCCTTGGAAGTCCGCACCCTAGTCCACTCGGCTACGGTGACTACCTGAGGAGAGAGGCGTGCGTAACGAGTGTGATGCCACCACCGCCGGACCACAGGCATAGCCTAGTAAACGTGCAGTCTTGTAAAAATTACTATACAGTTTAGTAAACCTAACCAGACTCAGTTACTAGACGGATGGTACCTGAAACTATACCTAGGTATAGTATACGATACTAAACTTCTAGTAAAGCTTAGTATTATCCTAGTTGTAATAACTAGCATCCATTTAACTAGGATTTGTCTGGTATCTGTTACTAGTCCTTTTTTTCAGTGTAAACTCCAGGAGGAGTAACTTCCAGTATATACCCATTTTAACGGACTTTTGGACGATTTTTACGGGTTTTGACTGATTTTCACGGATGTTGAGCGAATTTTAGCGATTCTTACTGTGTTTTACTAAAATCGGAGAAAATCGCAGGAAATCAGCGAAAATTGGAGGAAGTTTGATAAAATCAGGAGATGCACAGTCCTGAAATAATTTTTATTATTGTTCAAAATTATTAATTTATTACTTTGTAAACACAGGGCGCCGTTTTAATCTGATGTGATATCCTTTGTATTCGTACGTAATCCACGTGATCCACGAAATCATAATCCAGGTGTACGCGAATTTACCCCCATTGCCCCTCAAAAGCTGCCTGCTCTTGTTTCCTTTTTTCGTAATCGATGCATGGGTGGGGTCCTCCGCATAGTGAGGGTGCTGTGAAGGCCAATCCCTTAGCCGAGCACGTGTCCGCAGTCACACAGTTGCAATCATTTCCGCAGTAAGCTCCATTACAACAGTGTTGCAGATCGTAATTGTACGCCTCTGCAAAGGCGAGGGCGGCGGCCAGCACGACCAGGGCGAGGAACTGCAACAACAGCAAAGGCGGTTCAGTAACCCCTCCCGGAATGATAACAGAAGGCAAAATACGTCTCTGAGCTCAACCTGCAGGAGGAGGAGCTGTTTTGGACAGCCCCTAAACCTCTGCTAATCCCCCGGAGCAGGTGTTTGGCCTCCATACACCTTGTGCTGGGTGAAATAGCACGGGTTTGAGAGAGCCGTGAGCCGTGGGCTCCAGGCCCATGGAGTGCACTCCCAAAGCTGTATGCAGGCCAAGCACATGCTCAGAGGGCTCAGGGGCTGTCCAACACATTGTGCATACAAAGGTGTATGGTGAGAGTGCGACAAAGGTGTATGCCCAGAGTGCGACTCAAGTCGCTCTGTTTTCTGTAGCATACACCTTTGTCGCCCTCTCCTCTGGTACGCCTTTGAAATTACAGTGTACCACTTGAGTATTACTCACCACACACTTGGTCGAACGCATGTTTGTCGATGGGCTTCCCAAATGTTGCACGGTGCAGGGGCGGTCGGTGTGTGTCGGCGTGTGCCAGCTCTGGGGCTGACCACGCTTTTTATAGGCAGCGACCGCCCGCCGCGGCGGGTCAGCTTGTGTGAGCGGGTCATTAAGACAGCTATCGCCGCGGGCAGGTGCGGTCGGGGGGCTGAAGTTCTGCGGGCTGAGGGCGGCCGGGCGGGCGGGGACGGTCCGCATCCCATTATTCACTACTTCTGGAAGACTCGCGCCTTCGTATCTCCATGCACCCTACATGACTGTACTTCTGACACATCTGCCATTTCATTTCTTATTAATTTCAGTTATTGTGTAAAATGTTTTAAATTAATCATGTGCCAAAAAAGTCAAAACATCCGGAAATATCAAATGTAATTTTCACGGATTTTTTTCAGTTCGTGTGGAAGGTTAAGAGAGGGCACTACTTATCTACCACCCATGTCCGCGGGTACCTATCGAAACGCTTAATGACCATTACTTATCACAAGCTTGGCGCGACCCCCTATCTCCAGCCCGCTTCTGCGGTTTCCCACTTTAAAAGTGTGTTCTCAGTCCCGGAGCTGCCACGAACTGTCCCTTAACGCCA